ATATTGTGTTATATTAAACTATATTATATGTTGTCAAAATATATATTGTATATTATATTACCATGTGTTATCAAATATATATTATCCATCTTACTAATTTGTAGAGGTGGAAATGGAACCGATTTTGCACATTATTATTATCTATATTCATAAACGAAAAAATAGTAATATGTCACTTATTAAATTCTGATTGTTATTATTGTTTCTTATGATGTGAGAATTTGTTGTCATTACTTTTCTAGTGCATTTTGAGCAAATTTTTGGTCGAGCCTAATAATCTTGTTATTATCTTTTTTTAGTTGATGTGCGCTATGGTTTTTTTGAATTCTATTTTTCAATTGTGATTTTTCAAAATAATTATAAAAAATACAAAATATTTTATACAAAAATTTTCAAAAATTAAACTCTTTATAAAAAATAAAAAAAAATCATTACAGAAAATTAAAAAGCCAAATGTTCAATATAATTAATATATTTATATTTTTTATACCACCAAAAAAATTATTTCATCTAAAAATTTTGAGTGAACGATATAAACGGGTGCCTTAGCAAATATCAAACTTTAACTTGGTCCCATAGCCACATTCCTCACTCTTGTGGGTCATTATGTGATAACAAAATTGTTGATTGCTCCATGACATGCCAACTTTCTTTAGTTATTGTTATTATTATTATTATTATTATTATTATTAGTATTATTGTTGTTATTGTTGTTGTCGTTGAATTTTTACTATTTTTTATATTTTTTTCATATAATTTAAAGGTATATATTTATTTTTATTGCAAAATTGAAAAAATAATAATATTTTATTTAATAAAGACGGTTAAAAATTGTGTAAATGTAAACTTTGCTATTACTTTTTGGATTAAAGATTTATTATATTGATGCTGCACATTTACGATAAATTGATTTCAAAGCCAAGGGTTATGTCACGTATATTTGTTTTGTGAGATAATTTAAAAGTGATTTTTGTTTTTTTTGTCTGAAGTGAAATACGTAGGATTGTGTATGAAATATAAAAATAATGAATATGTATACTATATTAATATTTTTGGAAAAATATATGTATATTTTTTGTTAAAATAATACACACATTGCTGGTGGAGATTTTTGTGAGTTGAAAGAATACTAGATCGAAGGTTTTTTCGGACATTAAAAAAATTCTTCTTTTTTTTTTTTTAAGGTATTGATTTAATATACACCGTCCGATCGTGATTAAGTTAGATTGTAACACTATTATTTGACGGAGTTAATTTAGTAAATTTGTATTTTCTAATTTATTCTAGTATGAACTAATACTTTTTGCTATTCTAATAGTTATATATATTAGTACTACTAAAAATTTGTCATTTAGTCTCGGAATTAGTTCCGGAATCAATATCGAGGCTGTAAAATTAAAATACATATACTCCATCCGTCCCAAAAAGAAGTATGCATTTGCTTTTTGCACGTAGTTTTAGAAATATTAGTATTATATTATGATATAGTAAGAATAAAGTAGAAATGACTAAAATAACATTGTTAGTATGTGTGATATAAAGGTAATGGCATTTGTGTAATATATTGTAAGTTGTAAGGATATTTATAATGTTAGGTAGATAATACAGTTACTAAAAAAGGAAATAGATACTTTGTTATGGGACGGACTAAAATGCAAAAATGGATACTTTGTTATGGGACGGAGGGAGTATAATAAATATTAAATCAATTAATTTTTTTGCCTCAGAATTTTTTAGACTATTTAAAATAGTTTCGGATTTTCCGAACCTATATTAAATATACATTTTATAACATTGAATGGTCTCGAAATTTCTGAACATATTTTGATTAGTCTTGAAAATTTCGAACCTTTTTTGATTAGTTTAAAAATTTCGAGACTTTTATTAGTTTCAAAAATTTTGAAGCTTTTAATTAGGCTCGAAAATTTTAAAACTTTATTAGTCGCGGAATAGTGTCGGAATTTCGAAACTATTTTACATAGTCTCGGAAATTCCGAGACCTTTATTAGTCTCGAAAACTCCGAAATCTTTAATTAATTTCATAAATGTACCGGATGAAAAACAACATATTATAGTGTTATTAGTTTCGTAAATTTACCGGCCATTATAAATACTTTGAGGATGTCGTAAATGTACCAAATGACGAGGCCATCCAACTCATCTGATCTTCAGATTGTCTATCAATAGGGACCTTCATAAAATGCTGAACGAGCGACTTGGAAAGATACGCTCACAATCTCACAATATCCCATAAGTCACCACTCCACATATCTCGAACCAAGATCGGCGGCGACCGAATCGAAAGGGCCTGCTCTCCAAGCCATCTATCATCCCAGAAATAACCTGCTCCGACCTAAAGTCCAATAAATCCGCAACTGAACCTCCTCCCTAACTCGGCACAAGTGCTTCCACACGGGGTTGGCGTAGCTCCAACAAGGAGCATTACCCGAAAAGAAATCGCAAAAGTACTTATGCCGCATCGCCTCCGCCCTCCAGGAGGAACCTTCCTGAAGCTTCCACTAAAGTTTCATGGAAAATGTATAAACCATATCGGAGAGACGTTGAGCCATAAAAAATTAGTTTTGGGTACCAATTCGAGACAAACTCCGAAACTAATTCAAAATAGCTTCAGATTTAGTTTAAAATCCGAACTTTTTTTCGGAGGCTAAAGATATAGTTTTTTGTGGTGATACTATTTGAGTAGTATTTTACTAATATATATTTTTTTTATTATTTTATACACTGCAAGGGTTTGCTAAAATTCAGTAGATATAGTTTATACATTCGTTTAATTTTGCTAAATTTATTTTTTTTAAAAAAATTTAAATAAATTATTTAATTAAAATAATCTAGTTGAAGGAGAGAATAGATGGGAAAAAAAAATTATTTTTTTACTTTCATATAATTTGTTTCTATTTTTTGTTTTCGTTCGTCGTATATAACTTGTCTTTCATTTTTTGGAAATATAATTATACACTTTAATCACATTTTAAATTTTAAATTTTTTAATTTTTAATCTTATCTTAAATTATAATTATTTTTACTAATACACTTCTTAATTATTTAATAAACATACTTTAACTAAATTCTCCTATCTACAATGACACACCCAAATTACATAAGACAGAGGGTGTAGAACGTAGTAGATTTATATTCTTTATTATGAAAAAAATTATAAATTTACAATTATACCTTTACTTCTAATTTTAGCCGTTAATCAATTGTTAATCCAATGGTTTAGGGCTAATCAACATGGTGCTGATTAACCCTAATCAGCATGCTAAGGAAAGTCACTATTATGTAATATATTTGTATTATAGTAACATGTACATATTAATTTATATTTCATTTGCTACTTTTATATATATATTACATTCATTTCGTCTCATAACAAAGTATCCATTTTTTCATTTTAGTCCGTCTCATAACAAAGTATCTATTTCCTTTTTTAGTAACTGTACTATCTATCTAACATTACAAATACCCTTACAGCTTACAATATATTACACAAATATCATTACGTTTATATCACACATACTAATAAGGTTATTTTACTCATTTCTACTTTATTCCTACTATATCCCAATATAATACTAATATTTCTAAAATTACGTACAAAAAGCAAATCAATATTTAGTTTCGGAACGGAAAGAGTATAATATATGTATAATATGGTTATTGAGCTAACTAATTATAGGAAGCACATTAAGAATAGTCTATTGAACACACACATATATATATATATATATATATTTAACTCTAATTATATGGTGAATACTGTTAATCAGTTCAACGTATTGTACTATCACATAGATAACTAGTGGAATTATTGTTGGTTAATGGTTTATTTGTCATACTATTTGTTGATTTGTTTGATCACATTGTGAGGCTATTAAAATAACGTCTATACATAATGTGAAATTTATCTCAAACTAAAATTTATTTATTTTTAATTTTCGACGTTACGTTTAAATTCACGCATATATAAATATAACAATTATAATTTGTCGGATTCAAATCTCGTGGCATTCAAGTTTTGTCTGTTATATATAATTTGTTACTGTAGCTTATTTTATTGGATTTAATTTGTAAATTATTAAATTGAATCGAAAATTTATTCATAGCGCACCTGAAAAATAACGGTTCTGGTCCGCAATATATATATCAAAAAAATTAAAAAATTAATTATAACTAAATAATAATAAATATTAATACTCCCTCCTATTCAATACAATAATCTTGTTTATCATTTTTGTCCGTAAAAAAACAATAGTCATTATTTTCATAAATAATCGTATCACCGTAAAACTACATCTACTTTTTCATTTTTATTATACAATTTTTACTACTTTTTATATTAATACACGCACAAGTGCAAAGAAGTCTTTTACTTATATTTTTTACTAATTACTAATATAATATTATCTACTTCTGACTCTAAGGGTTTCGTTTACTTTGTGCGTGTTGATATTTGAATATTAATTATTACATCAAAATATAATACAAAATAAATTAAAATTACAAAAATATTTTTATTAATATCTTAATTATATTTGTACAACAAATTATACAAATATAATAATATTTTAAATGCAATAACATAAAAATAAATAAATAAAAATATTAGTATTAATTAAATGATGTGTCCAACCCAGCTACGACTATAATTATGGGGCGCAACAAAGGAGTATTATTTCTATGGATGGTATTTGGTGGGGATGCAGCGGTGGAAGATGGCGCGCCACGTGGCAGGAGCCGACATCAGTGGCATTTTCTGGTCACGCGCGGCGCGCGTGGCTGTGGCAGCGACTGTGGTCTTGACGGCGTAGCCCAGACCAGACCAGATTGCGACACCGCCTGCACTTCATCCTCGTCCCAATACCGATAGCGGGTCCCGGGAATGCGGGTCCCATTAGGGCGTGCAATCGAAATTTTTTTGTCCGCTAGAGCCAGGCTGCCCCTTACAACTATATATATATATCTACGAACTACCTTAAATATTCCTACTCACTTGCTTTTACACACTCTGCAAAATCTTTTGGTTAATTAGTTCTGTGTTTGTAATTGTGGCCTGAGATTGGTTGGGAGTTGCTGTTTTGGCACTTGTCCATTCATTTATTTTATTCAATTCATTCATATATATCGTCTCCGATCCCCACATAATTTAATTTTAGCACTCAGGGACAGAGACACCTCTGTTTTCGCCTTCCAAACACTGCCTTACGCCTCTAGAGATATTTTAGGTAACAGGTTTTGCCTTGCCTTACTTCAGACCCCTGTTTTAGCCTATATAACTAATGCCCTGTTTGGCGCTTTCTCTACTACCAAAAAGCGATATATTGTGCGTATATGGCCAGGGAAGATCCACCACCGCGAACGGCGGCGGCGGCGCAGCAGCAGGCGGCGGAGGCTTACTTAACTTTTTCAAATAATGATAATAAGATTATTAAGACGTGGGTGGATTCCATGAGAGCTTCTTCTCCGACTCCCGCCAGACATACTGATACTGATAGCTCTTGGATGGTATGTGAAATCCCCATAATACCCTCGTCTTCTTCTTCATCTTCATCTTCATCTTCATCTTCTTCGTCTTCATCAATGGTTGTCTTGTTATGACAATGAGATGAGTGACAGGTGCGTCATCCATCGGCTCTGGACATGTTGGAGGAGATCGCAACAGCTTCAAAGGGGAAACAAATTGTGATGTTCCTCGACTACGATGGCACCCTCTCACCCATTGTTCAGGATCCTGATCGAGCCTTCATGTCCCAACCAGTCAGTATTATTTAATTTCTACTACAATCGATTAATTGAAAACCACTTTTTATTATTTTTCATTAATTGGTTAAAAATTCCATCTTTATGTATGTTAATTGTAATAGATGAGGGCCACAGTGAGGCAACTGGCTGGATATTTTCCCACAGCAATTGTGAGTGGGAGATGCCGTGACAAGGTACAAACAATAAGCTCTTCTTTGTCTCAATAATAATATTTTGTTTAGATAATAAAAATATATACTCCCTCCGACCCTATTCATTAGCTTTTTGTAAATAATTTTAAAAATATTAATATTATATTAAAATATAGTAAAAATAAAATAGAAATGACTAAATTTATTTTATTAGTATGATGTAAAATAAAAGTAATGACATTTGTGTAATATATTATAAGTTGTAATGATATTTGTAATATTAAGTAGATAATACAGTTACTAATACTTTGTTATTAGACGGATATTTTGTTATGAGACGGAGAGAATAATATAGATCGGATAGTTTGATATTTTTATAATATTTTATATTTATGTAAAAATTAAAGACTATTTTAATACCATGGGATTTTCTGTCATAAAAATAAATCATATATCTCTATCTCTATAAGTGTTAATGACACAGAGAATCCGATCTGATTTTAATATAATATGTAATTGTTTTCATTATAGTAAAAAGTTATTTCCTCTTTTTTATATAATTTATTTTTATTTTTTATTTTTATCTGTCTTAAGTAATTTATTTTTTTCTTTTTTTGGGAAATATAATTATCCACATTAAATCACATTTTAAAATTTATAATTTTTTTATATTAGTTAAATTATTTATTTATTTTAATTTTAATTTATAATTATTTTTATAATATATTTTTTAATTATATTTTATCTAAATTCTCGTATCTATATCGACCCAAAATCTAAAAATTGTAAAATGAGTATTTTTTATCGGAAGGGAGCGGTTTTCCTTTGACTTTCTTTCTTTCTTTCTTTCTTTCTCGTATTGATTAATTCTGTACTTTGAAATAAATGCAGTTTTGTTTGTTTGTACGCAGGTGTACAGTTTCGTGCGTTTAACAGAGGTGTACTATGCTGGCAGCCATGGCATGGACATTAAAGGCCCCTCCCCCTCCCCCTCCCCCTCCAACTGTAACAACAAAGTGAGTTTTATTTTTAATGTTATTTTCTCCATTAATTCATTAATTAATTAAATATTCACTCTTTTCATTGTGTTTCATCATTAGGGGTCTGAGGCTGTTCTTTGCCAACCAGCCAGGGAATTCATTCCCATCATTAATCAAGTAATTATTTTATTAAATTAAATTAAACTATTCATGTTTTCTTCATGTAACTATTTTATTTTATTTTATTTTATTTCCCCAGGTTTATAGAGCTCTTTTGGAGGTTACAAAATCTACCCAAGGTGCAAGAGTGGAGAACAACAAATTTTGCGTTTCTGTACATTTTCGATGTGTTGATGAAAAGGTATGCATACATAATTAGTGGCTTTTGTTCTATCGCAGCCCAAGTCCCACATTGGAAGTTGTGAAAAATTACAATAATGTCCAAAAACAAATTCAGTCTAAAGTAAATAATATTATATATTTAGTGTTGAGTTGACCCAATCCAATTTTATTATTATTATTATTATTATTTTAAGGGACCATACTTATCCACTATCTAGATTAGTTTAATCTGATATGGATATATATAAAGAAATCAGTAGCTGTAATAATAATAATTACCGATATTATTCTAAGTATTAAAAAGATAGTTACTGTTTGGCAAGTGGGACTTTGTTAACTTTGTTGGCCTGACTAGTGGCTACAGCCTGCTGGGTGTGTATTTATTTAATAGGAGTATTAATTATTATTTTTTTCCTGTCCTAAAATTAAATATTTATTTGTTTTTTTAAGTAATTTTATAAATATAAGTATTATATTGAGATATATTAAAAATAAAATAAAAATGACTAAAATAATTTTATTAGTATGTGTGATATATTATAAGTTTTATAGGTATTTGTAATACTATGTAGATAATATAATTATTAAAAAATGAAATGAATACTTTATTATACGACGGATTAAAATAAAAAAATAGATACTTTGTTATGAAACAGAAGAAATATAATTTTTTTATATATTAATTAATTGCAGAAATGGAGTGAACTGGCCAGGCAAGTTGGCTCTGTCTTAGAAGGGTATCCAAACCTCAGATTGACCCAAGGAAGAAAGGTGATACATACACATATCTATATCTATATATATGTCACATTTCGGACATGTTTTTAATTGAATATTTTTTTTTTCTATCTATCAATATAAATAATAAATAAATAAAATGGGTTCAATTTATTTTGAGATTATGTTTCTTGAGTTGTTCTTTTGTGAGTTTTTCACATATTTTAATTATTCAGTTTTTTTTTTTTAATAAAAATATCAAATCAAATAATTATAATTTATTTTTTATTTTATAATAAAAATAACTTTTGAATATAAAATATTATATCTTTTGTATTTAAAATTGAAATTAATAAAATTCGTTTGATATGACTTTTTAATAAAAATATACTCTCTCCGTCCGAAAAGTATAGTCTTATTATGTTGCACAAGGAATTTAAGGAATATTGATATTATATTGGTAGTTGATAAAAAATATGGATAAATAATTTTTTTGTTTTTACGAGTATATTAGTGTAAAAAGTAGTGGCAATTGTGTAATAATAATGAAAAAATATGGATAATTTTACGGTGATATAGTTATTTATGAAAATAAGACTATTATTTTGGGACGGATAAAAATGGTAAACATGACTATTGTATTGGAATGAAAAAAATATTATTTTTCTCATAAATATCAAAAAAATAATATTTAAACAAGAATTAAAATCGCATTTCATTTCAAATCAATTTCGATCTACAATCAAACAACTACTTACTCCATCTTCAATCAATTTATTTATTTTGACATTTTGGTTGTTCAAAATCAATATATTCCGTTTTTTTTTTAGTAATTATATTTTTATAAGAAAAATACTTATTATTTTTTAAAAAAAATAAAATTCATCATCATATTTAATTAATTTGCTGTTTTCATTTGTAGGAGTAATTTGACATCTCATATATGTTTTATACCATACATATAAGAGAAATATTCAAAAATTTACGTAAAAATAAATAAACAAACAGATAAATAAACGATGAAAGGAGTATGATGTTAACCCCAAATATATAGATTTACTCTTAACGGAGTATTTTTTTTTTCAATTTTTATTTTTGAAAAATTGTATTTAAATGAGGGTGAGTTTTTATTTTGTGTAAAAAAAAATTATTCTTGTGTTTTACTTTGATTTAATTATATGGATATAAATAAATGTAATTTGAAAGTACTTGTACTATAGTTAAATTCATATTTACTTAAAAAAAAATAAAATTATACCCCCTCCACATCGTGCAAATATTTGCTTATTTGATGGGCACAGAGTTTTAATAAAAATAGTAATAATTGTTAATTTTTTATTTTATAGTAAAAAATAGTACAAAAGTGAAATGATTTTTTACTTAAAAAAGAAATTAGAATATTTTTCGATGACAATTCAAAAAGAAAAGCGAGTATAAATTTAAATAACGGAGGGAGTATTTTGATATGGTGTATTTAATTTTCATTTTAAGTACTTTATATATATATATATAAGAAAATTAAGAGCTTGTTCAAAAAAATATTTTCATTTATTTTTTTAGTAAGAAAGTATATATATATTTTACTGTAAAAGACAAAAGTAACAATTACTATTTATTTTTATTAAAATATGTGGGTGTGTTTATTTTATGAGAATGTTGAAAAAGAAATTTTTTTAATGTGAAATATAAAGAATCGTGTAGAAAATATAAAAATATTTTTTAATGTATTATATTAATTTTTTTTTGAAAAAATGTGAAAGAAAGAAAAGATGAAAGAACAAAGACTGTTTAATAATTGAGTAGACAATTGGACGAAGAAAGAAATATTTATTCTTTATTTTTGAATTTTAAGTTTTTAAATAAAATTATTATTTTGAATGTCATTTTTTAAACATAAGGAATCACATTAAAAAAAAAAAAAAAAGAACAAATCATGTTCTTGGTTCAAACAAATTATACTTCATTTGGAAAATTTAGTCTTATTCTTTTAAAAAATACAAATAAATTATAATTGCATAGGTATGTTTTTGTTTTACTTTTATACTAATTGAAAAGAGAAAGACACACCCCCTAGTTGGTCTTGTGCAATACTCCCTCCGTCCCACATAATGTCCATATTTTTTATTTTCGTCCGTTCTACATAATTTATCATTTTTTTTTGAAAAATTAATTATACACTTTAATCATATTTTAAAATTTAAAATTTAAATTTTTTTAAATCTTAATTAAACTATTTAGTTATTTTAATCTTAATCTATAATTATTTTTACTAATATATTTCTTAATTACTTACTAATTATACTTTACCTAAATTTCCGAGTCTACAGTAATACACACATATTATATGGGACGGAGGGAGTAATAGTACTAACGTTGTATTGTATTTCAGGTGCTAGAAATCAGACCAACAATTAATTGGGACAAAGGAAAGGCTCTTGAATTCCTCTTAGAGTGTCTCGGTGAGTAACTACACTTTATAGAATACACTAAAATGTCTCTCCCATCATCAATTAGACACCGATTTTCTATAGATCGAGTCAAATTAGTATAGTTTTGATTTGATTCAGTCATCTCCGTCCCTTAAAATTCTATTCATTTTATTATTTTCGTGTGTCCCATAACAAATAATTTATTTTTTTTTTATTAATTGTACTTGCTACTAACATTAAAAATACAATTACAATTTACAATGTATTACACAAATGTCATTATCTTTATATCAATAATACGAATAAGATTATTTAGTCTTTTTTATTTTATTCATACAACATCCTCATATGGTATTAATATTTTTAAAATTCCGTACAAAAGTAAATTGATACATAGATAAGGGATGCAAGGAGTATAATAAAAACATATAGCATATATTTCTACATGCATACATTACGTAGATTTGATCTAATCAGCAAATAATCTGCCTGCTTAATTAGTGTCGAATCTCAATCCTCAGGCTACGCTGACCGGAATGACGTCTTCCCGGTTTACATCGGGGATGATCGAACGGATGAAGATGCTTTCAAGATACCCATTCCAAAAGATGAACTTCATTAATTATATGCTTCAAATTAAAAGTCATAATCATCAATTAATTATCCTATATATCATCGTGATCTAAGGTTGTCAAAATCAAATCCGACCCGAAAAATTGAACCCGTTCGACCTAAAATTTTTTAGGTTCAAGTTTGGGTAGGTTTGGGTTTGTAAAAAATTAGGTCGATTTCTGAAAAAAATTTGTATCGTGTTTCAGGTTGACTTTATAACCGGAAATATAAAAATCAGGTCACGTTTCAGATTTCGTGTTTTGGGTTGACGTGAAATTATTTATTATTATTATTTTAATTTATAACATTTATATTTAAAATAATATAAAAAATAAAAATAAAGGTTTTTAGGTTGATTTAATTTTTTTAAAAGTTTTCGAGTATGTTTTGTGTCGGGTTCGTGTCGGGTTTGTTCGAGTTCCGGTGACCTGAAACTAATTTAGGTCAACCTGAACCCGACCTGAAAAAATTCGTGTCGTGTTCGAGTTTCAGGTCAAATTTCGGATTCGGATCGGGTTCAAGTTCAGGTTGAAAATTTTTTTTGTTACTCCCGTGGTTCAACCCGACACGAGTACGACCCAAAAACACGAATTGACAAGATCTCAATAATACTACTATAGTATAATTTCCACATATATATATATATATATGATATGATCAATTAGGTGCTACGAGAAAGAGGAGAAGGATTCGGGATCGGGATCGTGGTGTCGAAAAACCCGAAAGAAACAAATGCTTTGTATTCGTTGCAAGAACCATCAGAAGTGATGACATTCTTGAGACGTTTGGTGGGGTGGAAAGCAATGGCTCTCAAGATCAAGAGGAGGAAATTCAAACAATGGAGAATGAGAAGAAGCAGCAGTAGCAGCATCTGGATTAACGATCACCATATCAACTTGCCTTTGCCAAATTACTGACAAGACTACACGTACTTTCTTAATTTCTTCCTTAATTATATTACATCAATTTTATAATCTATGTTTCTTTCTGTTCATCTTTCCGTCTTGGATTTTTTCAGGCCCCGAACAAAAATTAAAAATAGTAGGCCTTGATTAATTTTTCTTTCAAAATATTATAAACGATAAGTATAATTATAAACTATATGAAATATACTAACTTAATTATAATATAACACCACTATCACCAATAATAATAACTACGAATAAGATAGAGGAAGATGTGATTAATTTTAGAAAAAAATATAATTAGAATTGGATTTCGTAGTTATTGAGAAAAATATGGGATAAACTTTAAATTAAATTTTAATATATCCTATAATAATATAATAAAATTTAAAAATATGAACCTGTTGAAATAAAGGCCCTAAGCAATCGACTCAACGATGCTATTAGCGGGCTCTGTCTTCATGTTTTCCAACTGAAAAAAAAAAAAATTCATTGTGACAATCTAATCCAAGATCCTCTTCATTTGTAATTAAATTAAAGCCCATTTCTTATCAAAACTAAATCGACCTATATAAATACAAGTCATCGGAAAGTCCACAATCGATCGCCGAGATGATTGGTTCGTGGGGCGATGAGAATCTAATTTTGAGTAGAACTTTTATACTATCAATTTATTTTACAAAATAAAAAAAAAAAGACATTAACTGAAAAATTAATAGGCACATTAGATTTTTTTTTTTTAGTTTTTTATAATAATAAAATTTCATATGCCAAGGGGACATGTTAAATGAGAAAGGGATAGCCGATTTATTTTAGTGATATTTACATTTCACAGATAGAACGATACAAATGAAATTATGAAAAATTGATTAGCAAAACATAATATCTAGGAAACCTCCCGTTCAACATGGGGATGTCCGAATCAAGTTTAATATTTTTCGTTTAGGCGGCGGCTACCATGCTGAATAGTACACCGTGGGCTACTAGATAGCTCACGGTGTTATCATAGACAGTACACAATATACATTAATATAATGCAAGTACAGTACATGATTAAGATATAATCACATATATACTCTCATACAGAACATGTTGTAATTATGAACCTACAATAGATATCTTTATTACATATAATATATATGTGTTGTTTGTAATAAAAATATGTGTTGTCTCTGTATTTTACATGTGCACACCGTAACCTCCCCCCGTCGTTTAAGAGATGCAATTGTACAAAGAAAATCACAAAATTAAATGAGGGGCTAAACTAAAAAATTATTTCACAGTTTGTACGATATTAGCAAAGGTTTCAGGACAAAAGGATGCCCGATTCGGGTACAGTATTATTTGAGACTTAGAATGTAACCAAAATATTGACACACATGTTTGCATGTGCATTTGACAATTAGCTGCTTTCTCTAAAGCTAAGTCTATCTGCTTCCCCACCATTTTTCTCAATCACACTGTCACTCATAGTCCTGAACTTAGCCTCACTATTATTAATTAATTAGTCGATGATTGTGTTGTGGCGCATGTGTGTGTGTCTTCTATGTCCTTACAACATACATTCACTAAACAAAGGAAAGGGGATCAAGAATCAGTGTCATGCTGCTGGGAAGAAATATCACTAAAATTACAAAGTTTTCTTTTTATTATTTTTTTAAAATGAAAAAAAAAATAAATAAATAAAAGGAAAAAGCATCCGATGCATCTAGTGGGAATGCACATCACTTTAGAATAATATAATTGTATAATGAAATGCATGTGACCTATGGCCACCCCAACCCCCTCCCTGCATTTAATTCACTTAACCCTTCACACTAATCCCTTTCTATGTCTGAAAAAAACCAGATCCAAAATACATACATATAGGCATCTCAAATCTTGCTCGGATTTGTAGAAATGGCTTCACTCCCAAAGCCACTTTTCACCCTCTATCTACTATCCCTACTTTTAATCACTTCCATACTCATTCCTTCTTCCCATTCCCAAAGCTATGACAATCTTCTTGTCCGAAGAAGATCGATTCTTGAATCACAAGATATTGAAGATGATGATGAGCCAATTCTCATCAAAAAGAACAAACCCAAAAATCCCAATCCCAAGATTTCCATCAAACCCACTTCTCCATCCAAGAACCACAACCAAACCAAGCTCACCAAACCCACAAATAATAATAATACATCATCATCATCATCATCATTCAAGAACCAAACTTCAAAGCCCACCAAATCAACCCCCTTTGATTCCATCAAGACAACTAACAAAACCAAACTAACCCTCAAAACCCCCCTCAAGAAACTCAATTCCACCTCTACACAATCAGCCAAGATCTCATCCGATCTACCAAAACCACCCTCATCCAAGAACAGCAACAACAAAACAACCACTAAAGTCAAAAGCCCGATCAAGAACAAGCCCGAGGCCCGGCCCGGCATCAAGGCGAAGAAGCTGCCGAGCTGGATCGAAGACGACGACGACGACGATGACGTCGTCGACGTTGTCTCAGAATTCAGAGACTTGCCATTAAAATTCCAAGAAACTTTCGTCCCAGATTTGGAAAGAATCTCGAAAACCTCACAAATCTACCTCACGAAATACAACAGAGAATTCACAAAGGGATTCAAACCTTACGTGGGCAGCCAATACGCACCCGCCATTGCTTCCTTTGTCTCCTTCGCCACCATAATCATTCCCCTAATTTTCGTATCCCTCATCTTCAACAAAATCAAGTCGTATTTCTCTATCCAAAAGCTCCTAATCTTCATCCAAATCTACCTCTCCATATACTTCACCATCCTCGGGGTATCCTCCCTGGCCACAGGACTCGAGCCGCTCAAGTTCTTCTACTCGGCATCGCAGTCCACATACGTGTGCGTGCAGGTCCTGCAAACCCTAGCCTACGTGTTGTACCTTCTGCTGCTATTGATGTACCTCGTCCTCGTCTTCTCCACCGAGACTGGGCTGGCCACGAAGCTACTGGGACTGGCGCAGACAATCGTGGGCTTCGCAGTTGGGCTTCATTATTACATCACGGTGTTCCACAGAGCGGTGCTTCGTCAGCCCCCCAAGAGCAGCTGGAAGGTGCATTCTCTGTACGCCACGTGTTTCGTTGTTATTTGTCTGCTGGACAGGATGGATAGGAGGAAGAAGGCTTATTTACAGGACAGCGGTGAGGAAGGGAAGCAGAGTTAGTTTAGTTTTAATTTTTATAATTTATTGCTATTTTAAATATATGTAATATTTTTTAAGGAAAAAAAGTTAAAAAAATAAATTTATATAAGATAGATTTCATTTGGTTTTCGTATTATTATATAAAATGTAATTTTACTTGAAGATTAAATACATTTTATAGCATTTTTATTTAATATAAATGTAAAAACAAAATGTATTTTATATGATTCTATTGTGGAATTCGCTTTTGTGTTATCTAAAATGTGCACAAAATTGTAATTCTATTCAAATTTTTGTGTCCAATCATTTGTAATTTGTTTGGTTTTGATTAGAAATCAATTGAGAATGAACATTTTAATTTGAATTTTGTTTAAATAGAATTTTGATGTGATCTTTTGCAATAAAAAATAATAATGTATTTTTATTGACAATAATACAAAAAATAAATATTATTGATTTTAATTTCAAATTGCAACCATAACAAACCCTTGAATTATTTTTCTTCATGTTACTTTGCATCCGTGCAATTATATGTCTAAAGATAACCTTCAAAATAATTTAAACCATATTATGTTATTCATCCAAAATGTCTTCTAAAAATTACATCTATAGGATTTCCCAATTTGTTTTTATTGACTATATTAAAAAATACTCCCTTCGTCCCACTTACCATATCCACATGTTGTCGTCTCTGTCCGTCTCACATTTCATGTCACTTTCTTTTTTGAAAAATGATTACCCATCTTGATTTTATTTTAAATTTTAATTAAATTAATTAGTTATGTGTCTATAATTATTTATAGTATAGGTTAATTATTTTCAGTAATACATTTTTAATTATCTATTAATATATTTATCCTAAATTATCTTATTTTCAGTGACCAAGAAACCCACGTTAGGACGGAAGAAGTAAAAAATTCATGTATTTTTTGTCACCCCACAGATTCACACATTTGCGCATGTACCCATGTTTAAAACCTAATTTATAGCAATGCAAGGATTTGATTGACAAAATTTAGTTTTATGAATGTCCTAATTGTGTTAAATTCAATAATAAATTATGCGGTCCTTAATTACGATACTCTCTCTATCCCACATAATTTGTCCCTATTTTTTATTTTTGTCCATCTCACATGACTTGTTATTTTTATTTTTGGAAATATAATTATGTACTTTAATTGCATTTTAAATTTTAAATTTTATAATTTTCTTAATTTTAATTAAACTATTTACTTATCTTAATCTTAATCTATAATTATTTTTACGAATACATTTCTTAATTACTTACTAATTATACTTTACCTAAATTCTCGTATTTACAGTAATAGTCTCATATTTTTTCTGGGATGGAGGGAGTATATTTTATCAGTTATATGTTATTTCTATTTTCGGAAATATAATTATGCACTTTAATCGCATTTTAAATTTTATAATTTTCTTAATTTTAATTAAATTATTTACTTATCTTAATCTTAATCTATAATTATTTTTACTAATACATTTCTTAATTACTTACTAATTATACTTTACCTAAATTCTCGTATTTACAGTAATAGTCTCATATTTTCTGGGACGGAGGGAGTATATGTTATCAGTTCTATGTTATTTCTATTTTCGAAAATATAATTATGCACTTTAATCGCATTTTAAATTTTAAATTTTATAATTTTTTTAATTTTAATTAAACTATTTACTTATTTTAGTCTTAATCTATAATATTTTTACTAATACACTTCTTAATTGGGTATAATTTTGATAATATTCTTCGACTTAATCTTTTTTTGCAATAATTTATAAATTACATTTAGAAGGATAAAAGAAAAAAAATGTATAAATCAAACAAAAATAAGTAATACTTCTTCCGTCCAACTAGAAAGTATACATATTTCTATTTTGGAACATTCAATTACAAAGTAAATATTTCATTAAATATCATTTTTTTTCCACAAATATCCTTACTTTACATCACATTATTACTTTTACACCAAAAAGTAAGAGCAAAATATCATTACACTATTTTTAACTATCCACTATAATTAAAATATTATTATTTCTTAAGCATCGCGCCAAAAAGTAATTTTATACTTTATGTGCGGACAGATGGAGTAATAATAATAATAATAATAATAATAATAATAATAATAATAATAAGTTTTAAATTAGAAAATATTCTCTCCATCCATTAAAATTAGTTTATTTGGATCTGGCACGATAATTAAGAAAAATTAATATTTTTATTGAAAAAATAATATATATATATAATATTTTTGGAAATTTAGTTAAAAAGTAAAATAAATGAAAGAAAAATATAATAAAATTAGTGCTATTTGTTATAAATAAGTGTTGAATATAAAAAATAATTAAATATTAATTTATTAACTTTGCTAAAATTAATAATAAGATAAATTTATTAAAGAAATTAAAAAATATATATAAAAATAAATTTGACGAACCAATAGAAGAAATAATATTTAAAAAAAAAAACTTTATAACGAAAAAAAGTAATAAGCCGTAAAAGAAGTGGTAAAGATTTATTTGTAGGGACAAGGTGAGGCTGTAAGTGTCGGTGAGGATAAACAATACCAAAATAGGACAGCACCGACAGTCCTCACACCTTTCATTAATGTCCTTAATTACTACTGTAAGACAGATATATACATATCTAATGTGTAAATTTATTGCATAGTTTATTTTTTATCTAAATAAAAATAACTTACAAAAAAATTATATTTAGTCATAAGAGTTTTGCATGATCCGATGTTACATGCTTTGTCCGTCCGGCTTTAGGGTTTCATTTACTTTTTGTGCATTTATCTTTGAATATTAATTATTATATTAAATTATTATACAAATTAAGAGAAAATAACAAAAAAAAAAAAAAAATTCTATCAATATCTTATAATACTATTATAATGACATTTATGCAAAAAAAAAATTATATAAATATAAAATTATTTTCAATGTTAAATCCAATGGTGCAAAAGGTAAATGAGACCCTTATAGCCGGACGAATGGAGTATTATAATTGAACTTATCGCACAAGGTATGTCAAAATAACACATCCTTAAAATATAAATTGGAATGCAGTAAGAATCACTATAACATATGCTATATTCTGTTTGTTCATTCAATTTTTCTTTATTTTTTCTTTTTCCTTTTTTTTTTCTTTTTGGTAATAAGATTTTTTAAAAAAAATATTACAAAAATATAAAATATATACAAGTATTAATATAATATGTATTCTATTTAATCACAAAAAAATCAACAATTCAACTTAAAATATTATTGTATATTATTACTAACACGATTTTTCATATCTAGCATATATAACAAAAAAAAAAAAAAAAACAAACATGTTCATTCAAAAAAAAAGTACAAAATAAATACACTCTAAATCTATGTGTTTGACAGCTTATATAAAATAATCCTAACCAAATCGATATATATATATATATATATATTTATGTATGTATTGGTTCATTTTGGTTGTTGGATCTCGACTTATATTATTAATTGAATTGAAGTTTGGATAGCTTCATTTGAGGTTGTTATTGTACTTCTCTTGTGATGTTGACATTATTCACTCTGTTATACTACTTCTTCCGTCCAATTTCTATTGTTCAAAAATATATCTGCACGATTTTTTAGTTGATTGTCTTTTTGTTATGAATTGACAAATTTGTCATTAATTGTATGGTAGAGATTAAAAGTAATAAATAAATGAAGGATAAAAATGTAAAATTTGTATTTAAAAAAAGAAATAGAACAATAGTTGTTGAACATCTCAAATAGAAAAGTAGGACATTAATTTGTGAACGAAGGGAGTATTATATTGAAATATTGTCTAATCAAGTATATATGTGTGTTAAATTTAATTATAACAGTGATACGAAAATTTTAAAGTTGTAAAAAATAGAACTAAAATGGGATTTGATATAATATTTTTGTAATGAAATTTATTTTTTATAATAGATTAAAAACAGTAATAGGATAATATCAAGATAATGAAATTTAATACTCCCCTCATTCTGTAAAAGTAAGTTCATTTAATTTGGAGATGAATTTTAATGTAGTTTGTACTTTTTCTAAGTTATCGAAGTTTGTCAGTGGCGATCGCTATAATTCGAGATATTCAATATCAACGAACTTTATTCTAAATAAAATTATGCTTACAAGATTGATGAGGTTGTCATCGCTACCATTGCTCACTCATTATAGGCCACATAAATATATTGTTGCATAAACAGATATAAATCGAAAATTTATATGAACTTTTTCAAATATATAAATCAAATTATGAACTTTTACAAACCACTCCAATTATGGACTTTTTGTTGGATTATAAATCCAATTGTGGATTAAATGTAACTATTAGGCTATCAGTCATATTAAGTTTAAATTAAGCGATATCTAAATTTATTGAGTTTAAATGTATTTAGTGAATGTGGGTATCCTATGTGAAGAAATCGATAACTTATTAATTGAGTGATGAGACAAATTAATAATAAGAGATATAAATTAGAGTTGTGATAACGCAACAACTATTACTTCTCATATATCATCGATACTTCTTTATTGGTTTTTTTAGGTTACGTCATTGGCTTGAAAAACACAATACCCCAAATTAATTTGCAAATTCGAATCCGACTATACTGAGAAATAATGTTAAATCTAATTTGATTTATTTTATCATCTCAATTATTTCAACACGAAATATCTTGAAGTTAGGGTTTAATTCCCGACAAGTTTCAACATTTCTTGACACTTGGGACACATGGACATTCCTTTAGATCATTCCTCATCTTTCTCCTCTTTCAAAGTCTAGATTGGACTTTTGAATATTAACTAATTTAAAATTTCCAGACTTCTTACATTGGGTTTCATTTATTGGACTATCAATTTCTTTTACTATATTCATACTCTTTTTATTTATTTATTTATTTATTTTTTTAATGTACTTCAACAAATTAGTCCTTTAAAAATATTTCTCACAACAAGTCCAATCCAAAAAGAGTGGACTTCTTGTCCCCACAAAAAATAGCTTTTCGGACTTCTTGTTTGATTTTTTAAATTTTGAAGGAAGCTTCATTGAATTGGATTCCTACTCAATTCTTTTGCAATTTATGTGTATCAATTCGATACCTTTGACTTTGATAACATCTTAATTTTATTACAATATGATTTATTGACATTGTTCAAACTAGAAAAAATATACTATTTCCGTCAGATTCTAAATGTCTCATACTTTTTATTCATTAGTATCTTATAATATTAATATAAAAATATTTATACAAAAAATTATACAAATATAAAGATAATATTACTATTAAGTAAAATGACGCAAAAAGTAAATGTGACCCTTGGAGACGATTTTATGTTTCTGCCTAACTTATAACTATATAACATAAATAATTTATTAACCGTGTGTTTGTTAGGAGAATTTTCCCCAAAATCTACTATTTATCAAATTTTTCTTTTTAAAAATATCAAATCAAACATCTATTTTTAATTTTTTATATTATAAGTTTACATTCAAAATATCACATCAAACTCCTATTCATATTCAAATTTTTACTATTCAAATCATAACTCAAAATCCAGCACGCCCTAAATATACACAATTTAATTAATTCACAAACCTTGCATGTCAAAACAGGTAACGAACATTTCCTCAAAGCAAACTATTAATAGAAACAAGCTAAATTAAACAAATGAACATAGCAACAACAACGGATGGACTCAAAACAAAATCCGCAAATCAAAACATTCCCAACCACAAACACAAAAAAACATTAATTTAAACACTAACAAATTAAATCAAAACAATCAAATCATTCTTATCCGCCATTTTCATTTCCATTCCACACCCTAAACTATCACCGCCTCCATTCCTTCCTCCGCCGCCGCCGCGCTGCTCCTCCTCCCCCGCCGCCGCCGCCGCCGCTTTCTCGTCTTCCAATGGAGGAGCGGCCGCCTCCCTCCAAGTTCCACACCCTCCATCTCCCCTCCCCGTCCAGCCGCGAAACCTACGTCGTCCAGTATCCCCGCGACCAGATCCACCGCGTTCCGCCGCCGGAGCACGCCCGCATCATCGAGGAACACTTCCGAATCTCCTCCGATCCGTCCCGCCACGCCCGCCGGAGAAACGTAATCCTGATCGCCGGCGGCGTCCTAATCCTGGGCATCCTCTTCGCCGTCATCATGTCCATCCTCCGCGCCACGGCCTACAACCCGGAGGCGCCGGAATTCTCGGTCGCCGGCATCCAGGCGAAGAATCTGGACGTGAACGCGACGCGCGGCCGTCGCCCGCCGCCGTCGCCGGTTTTCACGGTGGCGCTGCGGGCCCGAAGCCCGAACCCGAGAATGCACGCCGCGTACGCCGGCGGGCGCGAAGCGACCCTCAGTTTTAACGAGTACAGAATCGGGAGAGGGAAGATGCCGCCGGAAAAGGGCGCCGACGTGAATTTCGGAGTGACGATGACGGGGAACCCGCCGGTGGCGATCAAGAAATTGCTGACGGGGGCGGCGGCGAAGGCGATGGTGCTGACGGCGGAGGTGCCGGTGGAGATGACCAGCTGGGCTCGGAATCAGAAATGGGATCTGAAATTGAGCTGCCAGTTTACGGTGAAGGGTTCGTTGACGAGCAAGACGATCAAGATTGCGTCGCAAGACTGCCAAACGGAGTCGTAGCAGAAGGAGACTTAACGGAAAAAAAAAAAAAAAAAAAAAAAATTTGAAGTTTTGAAGAAATGGTAGAAACATAAATAAAATTGAGATTTATTTAATTATTTATGGGGAGAATGTCATGGTATTTTTCCTGTTCTATTTTTATTTTTGGTTTTTTATCATTTAGGTGTTGAGATCATTTTTTTTTTTTTTTCATTCTCTCTGTCAATTTTTGGTCTTGGTCTTCTTTGATGGGTATAGAATGTTTGTATTTGTTATCTTTAATTTTTTAAAGGTGGCCTCTTTCGTTTTGAATTATTTTCTTCTCTTATGGATTCACACGAAGATTAGCATGATAAATAAGTAGGAAAAGTTTTTTTAAATATTATTCAACCAAATTTATTCTTATAATTGCATGATCAGTTTCTAGTTAATATTCTTTGCCTTAGAACGGTCAAAATGGATTGAATTCGTCGAGTTGGCTCACTACACTTCACTTTCAAAGAAGATTGAGTTACGAATTTTTAGGTCTATTGAAATGTGAGCCTAAATGAATCAATTTATATAAACCGTGAGTTGAGAGTGTGTTAGTCAGTAGTAGGACGAGTTAGCTTGTATATCAAATAAATATAATAATTAGACTTATTGATCTCAACTACTTTTTTTTGTTACTATTTACGTTTGTCGAATTCAAAAATATTATTTTTTATTATGTTAAAAGTAATCAAATATTAATATAAAAATATTTTTTATTTTTCCATAAATTACAAATATACTATTACATATCAATTATATTATAAATTAACTACAGAGTGCAAAATATTAAAATCAGTATATAGTTTCTCTAATAAATAATGTATTATTATTTCTTAATTTATTAAAAAAGAGATAATTTCAATTGAGATGGAGAAAGTATTAGCTTAAATTAATTAACCAATATTATCTATGTTGTTGCTCATTTTATCTAACCCTTTTATAAATGCCACCCTCTTATTTGTTTCGAATTTTTATCGTTTATTTTGTTAATCCTTCATTTTATTATTTTAAAACCTTTTTATTCTAGAATTAATTATGAACTATTTTCTTAATTTTTACTATTATTAATTTTTTATAATATGCCAACTAATATTATTTAGAATTTTAAAATTCTTTATATTAATTATTTATTTTGAAATATCTAGCATTTAAACTCTACTATAAAATTATTTTTGATATTAATTATGAAAATATTAATTATATTTTTTTTCAATATTCTTAAAAAGCCTGTTATTAGTCCGCTTAGCTTGACATCCGCTGGTAAGTTGTGTTGAAATAATTAAATTTTAATCTGTCCCGCCGGGAGTTACTCCACAAATAACCCATTTATCCATGGGTTATGACAAGTTGGGGGTTAATCCATCTCGTTAATCCATTTTGACAGGTTTATGCTGCATGATATGGTAACTACGCATCAAAGTATTTTCAAGAGATGCATAAGAAGGATCCAATACCTACTTTAAAAGTTTGGATCTATTTGTACTAGGCATCTCATGCAATGCACAATCCCTTAATTGAATTTTTTGGTGAGAGAAAGAAACATGTAATTAATAATTAGTCACTACAAAAAAATAATATATTTGTGACGGAATTCCGTCCCTAAAGTTCACGTAGCTAACGTAATTCCATTACTAATTCCGTCTCTAATGTCATTAGTAACGAAAAAAATAGATTTAGAGACAAAATAATTTTGTTACAAAAATGATTTTTTCTTGTAGTGAGTATTTTTTTTTTCTGTCACTATCAATTCTAATTCTATGTCGAATCCAAACAATTACATCAATATTTATTTGGAAAATTGACTTATATATAATTCATCAAAGAGAGACATGTAATTAATAATTACTTTTTTATCACTATTCATTTTTAGTTCTCCGTTGAATATAGAGAATTACATAAATACTTATTTAGAAAAATAATATATATAGAATTCATCTGTAGTTTAGAAAGTTTGTATTATATTTTCTTATAATTTAAAAATTGTACGAGTTTTTCTAAAAGAAAAAATTGCTGCATAAAATTCTTTTGTATTTTTGAAAATATTTAATTGAGTCCCGTAAAAATTCTCTTGTATTCTCTAACAATTGCATAAAATTCTCTTGGATCTTGGCTTATTGCAATGGATCATAATGATATTATTGCAGACCCTAAAATATTGTATAATGATTGATATTATGCTCTTTATACCGGTGAGTTTTCAGGTTGAGCACAAAAATTTTAACTCATGAAATTAAACCAAGGAAAATACCCGTTGAGTCTGGGAGATCGGAAATGTAGTGAATTTGGCTCGCTTGCCAACGAGTCCTAAGCTGTAAAAAATATAATTACAAGGAAGTAGTAAACGTGAGTGGACAGTGGTTGTGAGTGGAATGATGACTTGCGATCAATGAGTGTTGTGAAGGCGCTGGTGAGGGGGGCGGTAGAGATGGCTTGTGAGCGATACATATATATGAAAGATGACATGTGAACTGCGACTGATGGTGATAATGGGAGTGCGAGCGGTAGTATATCAGCATAAGAAGTATACAAAGATGTTTGTTTGTGATCTGTGCATTATCTAATGGCTAGATTCTCATGGATGAAATGAGCGGACGATGAAAGTGAATCAACGAAACATATATGTATATTACAAAATGACATAAGAAATGTATATGTGATCATACTTGTCCATTTCAGATTCTTGACTCGCTCGTACTTGACCTTAAGGAATTTACAACAAAACTTCAGTGATATCCAAATTCAGAACATTATAAGTAAGAAAATCTACAGTCACTAGATATATATTTTCGACTCAATAGACAAGCGCATATGTCCAATTAATTATTCTAAAATCTGTTTCACTAGTAGTTTTAAACTACGCTTCTAATACCTATCTTTAATCAAAATTGGATTAATAAGTAATTAAGCAGGTCAACAAGGCTTATGCGTACTAAACTACCTAAAATCTGATAATGAATACGATGCAAAATTAGGCTTAGATAATCAATTCTTCTGAAGATCTTTCCATAACTTGTCAAGATTCCAAACTTGAATAATCAAATATAAACTTGAAATTGGGGACGAAGGTGCAGATGAAGAAATCGTAATATTCAATTAACAACTTCGAAAACCGGTGAATCTACATTATGAAAGCAGTAACAAAGCAACAAATTTGCCTACAAAAGCGTCTAACTGGGCAGTCAGGGGAAAAGAGAATCTCCGCTCCCCTGACTTCCACTAACTAAGAGAACTCTCTTACAGGATTGGAGCTCTCGGAATTTCAACAAAGTAGAAGCAAACAGAAGACTTAATTGTAGTGTGTTTTACAAAAGTAATCTAACCCTAATTATAGATCTTCTGGATAGAAAATTGACGGCAGTTGAGCAGTTGCATAGCAACAGCTGGGAGCAGTTGAAAAGTGGTTGCAACCGCTAGGTAATTTGGCGATTGATTAGGTGAAATTGCCTTAACTCTCAGTTCTCTCGCTTGGTTGAACTAAAATGGCTGTGGCACAGACTTTTCTCGCTTGCCTTGCTTGGCCTAGTTTAGCTGGAAGACATCGTCACAACTCAAGCGGTGCTATAATCGTTGGTCGGTATCTGAATGGTTGGCCGTTGGGAGATCAAAACTTAGGCAAAATTGGGTACTTCTAGATCTCAATTGCCAACGGTGGACGTCTGGCCGCTGTCTTGGGTATAGGCAGAAAGAGCATAGCTTGTCACATTGGCTGCACCCTCTTGCTTGTCTTCCATACTTAGGTTTAAGTCAAGGCATCGCTTAAAAATGCCAAAAACATCAATAATTTCCACAAACAGACTTGGAATCATATCAAGCGAAGCAAATAAATAAAGTATGATATAAATCAAATATTGTAATAATTTTTACATAAAAATTCAAAAAATACATAGCTTTATCGAGCAGTAAATATACTATTACTTAGAGTTATTACATAATTATTTATAGAATCTAAATTTTAGAACTTGAAGTAAAGATGCCTTCTACTGAACTTTAGTGGATACAATGTTTTATTGTTGATGATCGAAAACTTCGAATAGGACTTGATTTGAGGTATTTTCATCTTCAAAATTCACTTCAAACTTTCCTTTTCATTGAATAAGATATTTATGCTAATTATCATCTTTCTACTTTCAAGATTATATAGGTTATATTCTTTGGATTGAAGACAAGATCCACTAAAGATACATTTTTTCGATCTATCATCAAGTTTGGAATGTAAATAAACCAAAGTGTATGCTACATATAAATATAAAAAAAAAAAAAAAAAAAAAAAAAAAATTCAAGTGACGTGCGGTAGGTTTTTTAAGTCCAAGCTTCATGAAGTGTTTAATTTAATATGGCATTTTTCGGTGACATATTTAAAAGATATGTTGTCATTTCCATAGTTTCTCCCCAAAAATATGTAAAGTTCTTTTGCTTCCATCAATATCCTATCCATCTTCATAACAATTTTTTTTTTTTCTTTCTATGATGTCATTTTGTTCGGGTGAATATGGAGTTATAAAGTGGCTCCAATTTTTTTTCAACACAAATATTGGTGAATTTAATAAAATAAATATTAAAATCTTGGTACATTCGTAGAGCCTTTAAGTTTATGCCGCTTTAATTCTTTACCAAATCTTTGAATTTCATAAAACTCTCAAAGGTTTTAGATTTTTTTTTTGAATTTCAAAACATATACCCAACTTATAAAATTCTCCTTAAATAACAGAAAGTGTCGAATTTCGCCAAGTCACTTGGTTTTCATTGGACCAAATAAGTCTGCATATATAAATTCAAGACAGACCAAAGCTATACATGATTTACCAAGGAAAATTATTTTTTTTTTCTATTATTTTCAATATATCCATCCTTCACAAAAGTCAAACCTGCTATGGTTTTGCAATTTGATAACCATCTCCTTTCGATTTAGAATTCTCAATCCATTTTACGCAAATGGTTGTAATTGAAGTGCCATACGTAAGTTTTACTATCATCCTTAGTCACACATGCAATTTCCATGTTGCCTAGATGCATCGATGGGGAACATTATGTTTGACATGTGTTCACGATAGCCATCATTTTGGTAACATCCTCAGTTGGCTCA